CCTGGCCTTAGGTCCCCCCCCCCCGCCGCTTCGAGGGGTGAAGTGGAAAGGCAGCCCTGGAGGTGCCCGGCAGAGAAGGACTGACCAATCAAAACCAGAATTTGCCTGGCACCCAGGAAGCTGTGGCTACAGCCAGGTCTTGTCCAGCTGTAGGTCATGTTTTGGGTTCAAGTTGGAACCAATATTTATTGATTTACTTATTTTTATCATGTCTTTACTGTTTTTTATCAACAGTTGGAGGTGATGAGCATACCTAATACTCCTTTCTCCTCTTATTTTTGCAGAACAACCCTGTGATGGGATTGGAGAGAGAGAGGGGGAGAGAAAGAGAGAGGGGGGGAGGGAGGGAGGGACGGAGGGAGAGAGAGAGAGAGAGATCAGCCCAAAGTCACCCAGGCCACTCTGATGCATTCACATGAAGTATTAGTATGGCTTTATAAACCCTTAGTAAAGCCACAATGGAATACTCTATCCAGTTTTCATTACCACATTACAAAAAAGATTTCGAGACTTTTGGGGAAAGTGCAAAGAAAGGCAACTAAAATGATGTAGAAAGTCAGCACCAACCTCCCAGCAGAATGAAATGTTTTGGGAAATATTAAAAAGGCAGAATATTATATTTCCCTAAAGGAGAAACGGAGAAACATGCTCTTAAAGGCAGAAAGCAGACTCAGTCTTTAATAGTGCTGGCTTTTAGAAATGCAGATTTGGCAATCCACCCAAGACAGGATATTTTGAAACTCCTTGCAGCAAAGCTAACAAAGGCAGAGCGGAAGGATTAGAAAGCAAGCCCCTCACCCAAGATCCTAAAAAAACGAAAGCCACAATTGGAATTGCCCAGCACCCCTTTCAGAACCCAACCCCCTTCACTGCAGTCCAAACTTCAAAGTCACAGAAACCTGCGAGGCTCAGATAAACAATAAGCCAGAGGTTGACCAGATTAGCTCAGATTTGCATTTCCTCTTTTTTTTATTATTATTACCTTCATTGTCAGAGTACAACATGTGTACAGTGAGGTTGGCTGAGCCTCCCTTCGTGTACCCCTCCCCCCAACACAACTCACAGTGAGGACAGAAGTCCCTAACCCAGTCCCAATTTTATTGCACCATGGGAATTGATTGCACAATGCGCCAGCCCCACAAGTCTGTCATACTAGGTTGACATGAAGTTATTTTCCGTTCAGGAGTCTGGCAGCCCCATAGGTACAAACTGTTCTTCAGCCTGTTGGTGTGGCTGGCTCTGCTTCTCTATCGCCTACCCGATGGTAAGTGAGTGAAGAAGGGCTGACCGGGGTGTGAGTCGTCCCTGAGGATTTCCCCTCACTCTTCTAAGGCAGTCATCTAGTGGTATCAGGGTACAGCCCACAAGGTTTTGTGCTGTGCTCACCACCCTCTGTAGTGTCTTACTATCCGCGGCTCTCAAGCCAGCATCCCACACCATCATGCAATGTGAGAGGACCGGTAGAAGGAGGCCATCGGGTCATTTGTTCCACTTTGTTCTTTCCGCAAGACTTTAAGGAAATGCGAGTCTCTGTTGGGCCTTCCTAGCCACCTACCTGGATCATATTATTTTCCCAGGTGAGATCTTTGCTGAGGTAGACTCCCAGGAATTTAAAGGAGGAAACTCTCTCCACGCAGGGCCCCACCCCCGATGTAAAGTGGGGCGGGTTCCTCTCTCTTCTTCCAGAAGCCTAACGTAGTCTCCTTTCTCTTGCTGGTCTTGCCTCCCTTGGACGGAGCCCTCTCGGGGTGGGTGGGGAGTGGAGAGCGGTCGCCCCAGACGGATTCACTTCCTTCGGCTCAAGAAGGGGCCCCGGTTCAATGGGGACGCCCTTGGCTCAGAGTCGCAAAGACTCCTAGGGACCCTGGAGGCCATCCAGTCCAACCACCCCCCTACTCTGGAGCATGAAGCCGGGGGCCCTCCCAGACCAAGGGCTGCCCAAGGGGCCACTTGGACAGAGTCAGACCCCTCCCAGGTCTGCAAAGGCAGGAGAGAGAAAACTTGAGCAGCGGCTCCCCCGCCCCCCTCTTCCCCTGTCCAGTTTTGAGCGGGGGGGGGGGGGGGGGGCACCGTGTCTCAGCCCGTCCGCTCTCTCCTCCCACGCCGGCAGCCCCATCGGACTCTCAGCTGAGGCAGCAGCGTCCCTGGGTGCTTTTCCAAGGAGGGGGGGCGAGCAGGAAGTGCTTTACGACTAGGGCCTCTCTAGGACGATGGGGGGGGGTCTTCTCTGCCTCCCACCCGTGTCCAGGGGAGGCGAAACCGCTGTCCAGTGCTGAAATCCCGGCCCTCTGCACCCGTCAACGTCGCCCCGGGCACCGATCTGGCCGCGCTTCCGAGACCTTCCATGCGCAGCGCCAGAGGATCCCGACTAGACCCTCTTCCCCGGATCCTTCCTTTCCCTCCACCAGGGTGGTGAGTCCCCAGGCAGTGCCCGGGGAAGAAGAAGGAGGAAGGAGGAAGGAGGAAGGAGGAAGGAGGAGAAGGAGAAGGAGAAGGAGAAGGAGAAGGAGAAGAAGAAGAAGAAGAAGAAGAAGAAGAAGAAGAAGAAGAAGAAGAAGGGGGCTCTTCGGAGCCTCCCCGTTTCAGGGACCCAGTGGAAGCCTCGCCTGGGCGGGCAGCCCCTGACAGTCGCCTCCCCTCCTTGCCCTGAACTGGCCCCCGGTCCCCTTCTCGGGAGAAGAAGCGGCCGGGGCGGCTTTTCCGGGCTCCGCTGCCCTCCCCAGGCCCGAAAGAGGCGCCCCTGTGAGCGCGAAGCAAAGTTGCGCCCTCGGTCCATGCTCCGGTTTGGGGGTGGGGTGCGCTTTGCAGGCGAAGGTGAGGTCGACTCCCCCCCCAAAGAAATGGCGCCCCCACTCCCACTGAAGGGGGGTAAGGGGGCCCCTCCAAGTGTGTGGGGGGGAGTTCAGACCGGATTTTTCTCTTCCCGATAGGTTGGGGGGGGGGGGAGGGGGGGACCCGGTGCTGGAGGCCTGGCAGGAAAGGGCGGGGTTGAGGAGCGCAAAGGGGGGGGAGCGGGGTCTATGGGGCTCCAGGCTTGCTTATTCCCAAGGCTGGGACCCTCCGAGATCCCTGGGCTGGACGGGCTGAGCTAGAGGGAACCGAAGAGCGGAGGGGGGCTTCCCCTCCCCTCTTCTCAGGCCACTGGGCAGCCTCCCCTCACACACACCCCTCCCCCGTTTGCAAGAAGCCCCCTTGCTTCTCTGCCCCACTTCCTCCAGGACAGGAAAGGGGAGGTGGAGGGGGCTTTATGCTGAGGAGGCTTCAGAGAACGTTCCCTGCAAGAGGGGGGAGGGGCTGAGAAACCCAGAAGGAGCCAATGAGCAGCTTTCCCTTCCAGGCCTCATTGGAACAGCTGTTGCTTCCTCCTCCTCTTCCTCTCTGGATCCCAAGAATTCCCATTCCTAAGAGGTCTGTAAGGGGCGTGCATAAGTGCATCAACATGCATAACGTCCCTGTCTTAATGTTCCCTTTTATTTGTATTTATTTCATGTATTAATAATTATTAAATTCATATTATCAAATGCATGCTTGACAAAATAAATACATAAATAAAAATTCCCAGCTTCCTCCCCCCCCCCCCCCATCCTGCTGAGACCCGGATGTGTCAAACGCTGCCTCAAGTCTCTGCTACGATGCCTGCAGAAGCTATTTTGATGCCAGTCTGCCCTGAACTCTGGGACCTAATAGGAGGGGGGGGGGCATCTGACCTCAGAGGGATCAAAGTTGGCTCCGTTGGCCAGGGCCTTGGGACCTGAGCAGGGCTGCAATTCCTCAGGAGACCCTCCTAAAACCACCCCTCTCCAATTTGGCCCCTTTGGGAGGGAATCACTTAGCCTGGGATTCTGGTTCGGGAACTTGCCATTCTGGCTTCGGGTTGCTGTATGGATCATTCGATTGCTAGTAAACTCCGCCTCTTTCACCCAAACGGTGTGCGAAGGATCGTTTTCAGCTCAGAAGCCCAAGCTGAGGCAGGACTGGTGAGGGGATTACCAAAGGTTTGCTTTTAATACAACAGAGCAGAGGAATGGGTCCCCTTTGACTCAGGAGGACCGACCTTCCACTGGCTACAGGCAATCCTCGGGCTCTGAATGTCAGAGAACCTGCCAGTTGCATTAGTCACACACACACACACACACACACACACACACACACACACCTGCTGTGGTACAGGAGGCTGACTAGGCCACACTCACCATGGCCACACCCACCCAGCAACCAAGCAGAGAACCCATTGCTAAAATTTTTGAAGCCCGCCCCTGATCTCGCTCTGCTTCAGGCTTCCGTCCCTTTGCAAAGCTCTTGGCGCGGCCGACAGAAGCCTTTGGGGGCGCGATCTGGCATTCCCTTCAGACTCGCCAAGGCTGCCCGGTGCTCCAAATCAGGTGTCCCGCGTGTACCGCTCTCAGTGAGTCAGCCAAGCTGAGCAGGGTGCCCTTGTCCCGCTCTGCCTCCTGGCACCTTCGGGCTGGAGAAAAACTCTCCCAGGAACAGCCTTTAACTGCAGAAAAGTCAGTCCAAAACAAGGCACACACAAACTGTAACTTAAAATCCAAACAAACCACTCTGCAGCAATTAACATGACAGGGCAGGAGAAGAAATTGCAGAGTTGAAAACACAGCAAAACTCACACAGTTGGGAAGATGTCAGGAACACAGATAAGCCATGACAGCAAAGGATAAAGTCATGTTTGCTCCCAACAGCTTGCTGCACACAGCTTGCCTTTTTTATACACTGTGTTCCCAGCTGCAGCTAATGAAGGGAATCAGGGCCCTTTCCTCCCTGTAAGCCATGCAACCCATGTTGCTCCTTTCTCCGTTCCTCCCTGTGTGCCCTAGAATGAAGAGCGGGTGGGCCTGGGTCATCCTCCAAATTCCCTCTCCCTTGTTCTACCTCTCCCCTGCTCTGCCCAGCCGGACTTCGCCCTTCCCCATTTTCTTCCACAGCCAAAGGAGCCACACTCCCACACCCTGTCAGCTGTTTGGCTTCCTCCTCCAAGTCAGATTCCGACAGGGGCATGACACATTCCAAACTTGGGGACTTGTCTCATTGTGGCATCACGAGCTGCTCCAGCCACGCCCACCCACCTGGCCACTATGAGGCCACTATGAGGAGTCACCTCATTCCGTAAGAGACAGCCCCAAATGATATTCAGGCCCCTCCCGACTCCACGCACAGTTCAGAGGGGCAACCTTTCCATTGCTGATGTTGTAAAAAGCCCACTTTGGCCTCCCGATGCACCCAAATTAGGGATGAATGACCCCCTAAAAAACACTGACCAGGTGGGCAAGTTGTCGAAGCAGAGCCCTTTGTCCTCCCTCCAGCTTTTCAGCTCAAGGCCCACATCTGCCGGAGAACCCAAAAGGGCAGCTGGCATTCCCACAGCTGGCAGAGTCTCACCCCGCAGTCCCAACTGGGAAGCTCAGCATCCAGGCCGGCAGCTGTGGGCTTCTAGGCAGAGTTCCTGGCAGCCCTTCTGCTAATCAATCGACCCCTTCACTTGTCCAAGGCCAGATAGCTACTCCCGAGTGAGGCAGAGCCCCAGGCCTTTTCCTCCCAGGGTCATCAGGTGGTGTGAGGGAAGGAAGGCAGTCATGGGGTGTCCTCCGCAGCCAGCCAGGCCAGGACCTTGCAGCGGGTCAGGCCAAGGAAGCGCTGCCAGGCGGTGCAGGGGTGCTCAGCTGCCTCCCATAAGGACAGCATTTCGGCAGGTTCCACTTCATGCACGCTGAAGAGCACCTCCCTGTAGCAGCAGGCATCAAGTGGGTAGTGGGTAGCCCCGGACATATAGTCTAGGTGGCGCGGGGCAATGCCAGCATGGTGGGCGCACATCGCCACAAACACATCCTCCACAGGCAGCAGCGGCAGCTGGCGGGCAGCACCCAGGACAGCGGCAGCGGCTGGGGCAGAGAGAATGTAGGCGGTGCCGCTGCAGTAGGGCAGGAAGGCAGGTTCCGGGTAGAGCGAGGTGGGCACGTAGTGCCGGCTGTGTGGGTTGCGGATGGGTGCCACATGTGAATAGACCTGACCCAGATAGGCAGCAGGTGGGCCGGCTAGCCGCTCCAGGTGTCTCGCCAGGGCAGGCAGGTTCAGGAAGACGTCATCGTCGGCCTTCAGCAGGAAGCGGGCAGTGGGGCAACGGGTGGTGGCCCAGCCCAGCATCGCCAGTGTCTTCAGGGTTAGGTTTGCGTAGGTGTCGGCAAAGCACGCTTGCAACAGGTCCCCGTGCTCGGCCGCCTCACGCTCCAGTGCTGCCTGCTGTGCCACATCCCCAGGCTGCCCCAGTATAAAAACCGTGTGCATGCTGTGCCCCCCTGCTACCCTCACACTCCCCCAGCTGCGCCGCACCACCGCACGCCGGGCCGCATGCCCAGTTGCACTGGCCACTAGCACCAGTAGCCAGGGGGCGGTCAGGGCACAGGGCGATGGGGACAGAGGGAAGGCGTTGGGGGGCGGCAGGAGCAAGGTGTCTATGTGTCGTTCCCCCACACCACTCCCCATCTGGGAGGGCCGCGAACGTGAGAGTGGGTCCTCACGGCGGCTGCTGGCCAGGAAACTGAGAACCAAGAGGGTTGCCAGGCTGCACAGCAGCCCAACCAAAAGCCCGGTCAAGTGGCACAGGGACCGCTTCCAGCGAGGTGGCATGGCAGTCATGGGCGGCAGCAGGGCCTGTGGGAGGGTCTGCAAGAGAGACAGAGACATCAGCCCTGTCAGAGAAGAAAGGACCTCTGAGCCCATTTTGCCTCCCGGCCCACGAAGGAGGCCCCATGTCCCACTGCAGGACAAGGATGGGATGAACCAGCCTCCCCAGCAGCCTCTGAGCCCTTCCCAGAGAGCAGCACCTGGCAAGACCGGCCGAGGGAGTGGTGTGCCACTTTGGCAATAGCGTGGCTGCGGCCTCCACCACACCTCCCTCCTTCCGCCAAAGGCTGGGATGCGGTGGCACCACCCAGGGCTAACTGATCTCACTGTACGGGGAGGTGAATGCTCGCTCAGTTGTGCCAAATCAGGCCCAGCTGTGGGTGGGCTGCATGCCCACTAGGGAGCTCCTGCTCTGAGGGCCCACCTCGCACCTCAGTGCGCCACCAGGCAGGCACCACCCGCAATTCTCCAGCTAAGAGAGCTGCCCCCCTACCCACCAGACCCTGATTCCCCCCCCACACACACAGGGGCCATTGGAATCTCCCAGCATCGCCCCTTTGGAGGACCCCACCACCCTGCCATGTTAGGCTGGTTCTCGTGCTCCTCATATGACAGACGGGGGTCCTGGCCAACGACGGGAGGGGGGCTGGTCAGGGAAAGGGGCCATGGGCAGTGTTAGGAATATGAGTCACCTAACAGCTATTTGGGTTAGAAATATATAAACCAGGATAAACATTTTAAAACTGTATCTTTAAGAAAATGCAAAACTGTAGTTGGGTGTGGTTTGTCAAATGGCCATAAGATAGAGCCAGAAACCTGTTGTTGTTTTAGTCTTAGTCTCAGAAGAGAGTGTGTCTGAGTGAGTATCTCTGTTTCCTTCTGTTGGAAAGTATTGCCGTTGCTCCGTTTCTTCTAATTGACTGATATTACTGGATTTAATGTAAGTCTAATACTGAACTGTTTTTTGACACTGGACTTTGATATTTGGATTATCCCTGGATTGAAAACTGACTGATTTAACTTGTGAATGACTTTGGATTGCTTATTTTGGACTTTGCTTACACCTTTCTGGAAGTAAAAACCTACGTTTACTTTACAGTGTATCTGTGTGCTGTGTGTGTATTATTCAAACACTACTCTCAAATACGTCTCCCTGTATGCGCTCATTCTCCTAACGGGGAATTACCTCAACAGGCAGCAATGGGTCTGGGCTAAGAAGCAGAAATCCAACTCCCCAGGGGAGGTGGGGGGTCTTGTAAGAGGCACTGGGGAAGTGGGGGGATGTCTCTCCTGGAAGCCTCCAAGGCCCCTGGAGAAAGAGGGCAAGGCCAGTGTGGGGCCGCAGCAGCCGAGTTCCGGGGGAAAGGAAGTCAGGCCCAGGAACCAGAACCAGGGATGTCTGTTCCCCTCTCCTCCTCCTCCTCCCCGGTTCCACCTAGACCAGCAGGCATCCTTGCCTGGGCCTCCTCGCCTAACCCAAGTGGGGGTTTCCCACCCAGCTCGGCCCCCTCAGGGGAAATACAGCCACCCATTGAGCCAGCTGCTCAGGGCAGCTCCTCCAGAAGCCCCATTTAAGCTCTTAACCTTCAGCTCCGAGATCCTGTCAAGCTGCTCTGGAGCCTGGCTCTCAGGCTTCTCCGGCACCCGCTCGAAATCCAGAAGGCAAGCGGACTTTGTGGCTGGCGGTCAGGCACGTCCCAGGGACCTGTTGGGAGAGCAGGCCTGGCCTGATGCAGCCCCTTGTTGCCAAGCGTTTAGGGTCGCGGAGCACCTGGCAACCTGGGGCCCTGGCTGCTGGGCTGCAGGATGTGGGCGCTAGGCAGAGGTCCGCTCAGACGGCAGCAGGCCCATCCAGGAGGTTGCTGGGATCCGCAAAGAGATCATGGCCTTCCCGCCGTCAGTGGGCAGGCTGCTCCCTGCAGGGGCTGGGTTGGGCCCTGGGCATGCCTGAAGCAGGGGGACCTTGGACTCCCCCATAACCACCCTCCTCCCAGTGCCGCAGGGGCTTCTGGGTCTTTCACCTGGGGGAGGAGGCTGCCTGTTCCAGCAGAGAATCCTCTGAAATAGCCTCTGCCTCCCCCCTTCCTGTGCCAGTTGAGCCCTCCCTGCTGGCTGCAGCAGAGGCTGCCTGTCCCGTCTGTCCCCCCATTCTGTGCGGGCACTTAGGAAAGGCCCTACTTGGCCCGGAACAGGAAGGGTCCCTCCCCTAAATGAAGGAAGGCAGGCAGGGCCGTGTTCCACCAGTCACCGAGTTGAAGCACGCTTGGTGCCTAAAGGTGCGTCATGTGACAAAAGAATGAAAAAAATAAAAATAAAGGTAACTCAAAGGCAGGAGGCTTTTTCCTCCTGTCTGTTTCCTGTCTTTCTGTGTCCTGCCTATTTGGCCAAGAGGCCCCTGCCCAGCCTCCCAAGGCGGGGCCACTTCCCCAGCCTGCTCCTGCAGAGTGATCTGGGCGTGCCCGAGTAAGGTTTCACTGTTGGGGCACGGAGGACAGGCTGGGCACCACCCTCATGGCCTTTGCCTGCCTTTCTAGGGCCCCCACCAGGACAGTCCCAGAAGCTGCCAGAAGCGCCCCTTGGCGGGGGGGGGGGGGGACACGACCCAGGCAAATCCCGCAGCTCCTTGGGGAGGGTCCCCCAGCAGGAGAAGGAGGCAGGGGTCTCTTCCGCTCCATGGCCCTGGCTTTTAGCTCTGGAGGCCTCCTGCTGCTGCTGCCTCTGGCCAAACCGCCATTGAACCCAGCCAGGGTGGGCCTCTCATCGCTTCCCAGGATAAAACATGTGGGGAGGGGGAGGTTCTGCCTCTGGTCTGGTTAAAACAGGAAGCCCTGCCTGGAGACAACCAGAGCGGCTGAGACGTTAGGGAAGGGGAAGCTGGCCCCATTTCTCCCCGGCGATGCCCTGTGGCACCTGTGGGCTGCCAGATGCCCTGAGAATGTGCCCACTCTCCACTGGAAATGTGGGAGGAAGAGGAGGAGGGGAGGGCCAGGTATCCCAGGGCATAGCAATACCTTTGTGGGCTCCGCAAGAGAGGATCCAATCCGTGCCGGTTGCTTCCTGGCACCGTTCCTACCCAAAACCTGCCCACACAGGTAACACCCAGGGAGGCGGGGAAGGTACAGGCCTGGCTCTGTGGAGGGAGGAGCCCCTTTGCCCCATTGGCAACCATCAGCCAATCCGTTTGCTTCTCTCTCTGGCTGAGCAGCTGGGCTTTGACCAGGGCAGGTCCTGATCTCTGAAGGATAGAAGACTAGGGGAATCCTTCAAATGGGGGTGGCGGCCCTTTAAATCCTCCAGGGAGCAGCAAAAAGGCACCGTTTCCCCAGGGTAGGAATCCCCATTCATAAGGAGAGTCAAGGTTCAACCCACCCAGTCAGCCAGGAAGGGACCAAGGTACGTAGAACCAAGGCGCCAAGGGTGAGGACGGATCGAATTGCCTACGGGACTCTCTTACGCTTCTTGTTGCTGTCTTGGCGCAAGTGACAAATTACAGGCAGGAAACTCCGGAGAATGAAATGACGGGATGATGAAGGGGGCTTTTCTCTTAAGTAAGGCCAGGTGGAGCCTTGTGCCCAGAAGGACCAATGCCATTAACCCGCTGTGTTAAACCCTGGTTCCTGTCGAGGGATTACAAAGAGCCAAATATCTGAGGCATCTTCTACGCTGGGCCCTTCATTTGCACCTTAGGCCCAAGCGGGAACTGTCCGTTTCTGCAGAAACGAACAGCGTAAAGTTCCCCTCCCTGCTTCTAGCCAGACTTCTTTTGGCTGCCCTTTCTGGGGAAACCCAGCCCCGCTGAGGCCGCCCTTCCCTCCCTCCCTCCAGTGCCTTTCGCAGAAGTTCCGGCGTGTCAGGCATTTCTCCCCTCCCCTCCTTCCAAAGAAACTCTCCAGCACCCCATTGGTGGCCGGCTTGGGAGAGGGGGGAGGCCTGGCTTGGGCAGGCAGTGGGGGGTCCTTCCAGATGCCACATGGAGCAGGTCCTGCCACGCAGACCCTGCCTCTTTTGGACCCTGGCTGAGGCCTCTTTGGGGGAGGGGCCTCTGGATCCAGATTCCCACAAACAGCCCTGAGCAGCTGCAGGACTTGTGCCCGGCTGGCTTCTTTCGCCCAGCAGAAACGGCGCGGGGGAGGGGCACTAAAATGACTGAAGCATTAAAAAGCCACCAGCATAAAATGCCTCCAATTCACGGAGCGGGTGTTTTTGTGTGTGTGTGTGTGTGTGTGTGTGTGTGTGTGTGTGAAGTGGAAAGGCAGCACTGAAGGACTAAACCGGTTAAAACCAGTGCTTGACTGGCCCCTGGACAGCTGTGAGCCCAGCTGTGGATCCATCCCTAAGTTTTCTTTTGGGTTCAAATGGGAACCAATCTCTAGCGATTTACTTATTTTTAATCCTGCATTTTTAAATGAATAACTCGAGGCGGGGAACATCCCTAGTGATCTCCCTTTCTCCTCTTATTTTCCCACAACAACCCTGTGAGGTTGCTTGGGCTGAGAGGGAGGGGGAGACAGAGAGAGACTTTCCCAGACTCAGTTTTTGTGCCTAAGGCAGAACTGGAACTCCTGTCTCTTGGTGATTCCCCCAGTCACCCAGCCGGCTTTCGTGCCTATAAGGAGGGACTAGGACTCTCAACTCCGGAGGGGAAGGAAATACACCAGTTCACAATGCGAATATGAATTCTGCAGGTAGTCCCGGAGTTACGGCTGTCGTGGAGCCTGCCTATTCCAGTCGTAACCCGAGGAGTCGTGGGAGGGAATTTTGTACCTTGAATGGGATCGCTCCCTCCTTTTGCCCACAATCGAAGGCTTTCAGGCTGGGGAAGGCTGTGGGGGTGTGTGTGTGTGTGCAGCAATGGGACAGGCCACCTGCCCAAGACCACCAAGGCCTCCCCGGCCCACTGAAATACCTTGTGCTCCCCACAACTGCTTCCCCCCCTCCCCAACCTGCTGCGCTGGGTCACTTACCAGCAAGCAGTTTCTTCTCCTGCCCCTCAGCCCCGTGTGCTCCTTTGCCGTTCCGTTTGGGCCTCCGGAGGCCTCGCCCGGCACGTTGTCGCAGGCTGAAATCCGCCCCTCAGGAGCTCCGTTTCAGCTTGCAATTGGCTGGGTGAGGCTTCTGGAGGCCCGAACGGAGCTTCTGTGGGGTGGATCCTGTCAAGAGTTTGCAGCACACCTGACCAGCATAGAAGTAAATAATTTTGCAGGATTCATCCACATAAGAAAAACTTCTTTATATACAATCCCATACAGCAGAAGTCAGCATACAAAATCATGAACACAGAAGCAATATTCACAGAAGCAAGTCGTTACAGAGGAGAGAGATACAGAGGCCTAGGTGACAGAGGACAAGCCAACTTTTCTATACAGTCCAGCAAGTCTAAGCCACGCCCAGACTCCAAACTGTCTTATGGCTCCATACAAATAAATACTAGGCTTCGGTTTCCAAAACAGCTCCCATTTACTGACCTGCTGCTATGTCTATTCCAGCTCATAATTACTTATATACTGACAGATCCACCCCTCAGAAGTTCCATTTTGGCCGGCAACATGCAGGACGAATGTTGCAGAGCCTCTGCAGTTGTCCGGAAGGACGAAAACTTACCGGGCGCCATAAGATTCGTAGTTTTGGATCTTGTTTATTTGTTTCGGGCAGCTTATGGTGTAGCAGTGGAAAAATTACACATAAAGCACTTTTATATTTAGCAGAAGTCCCCCAATTCTCCAAACCTTTGCTTAATACAATATTGTGCAAAACCACAGTTACTGAACCAAGGAACTAGCCATATTACAGTAAACAAGGATGGATCTGGAAAATAACAGATGGTGTAAGATAAAATGAGTAATTATATGTACTTCTCTTTTCTTGGTATATATGTTATTCTCCTTTGTTGGTATAGTTTAATAAAAGTAACGCCCCGGGCTAAGCTGAGGTCATGACATGTATAAAAGTGACACCTCAGGAAGAGCCAGGGGTTCAGAATTTGCCATTCTAATGCTCTGAACCTTGTGCACAAATAAAAACCTGTATTCTCCAACCTTTTGTGGTCTTGTGTCCTGATTTGGAAACAGGATCTGCTGCAACAGTCACACATGGAATCAAGAGGTCCCCATGTTTGAAATCTCTTTATTGCCTAAAATGAAAATGAAAAAGGACCAGTATATTTTATTTATTTATATTTTACACACACACACACACTCACACACACTTTATTGAATTTTCACCTTTAAAAACGAATTCGATATACATTTTTTGCAGTTGTTTGTAGCATCAGTTACTCCGTTCTCCTGTACATACATACCTATATTATTGACAATTACCCTTCTACTCTTTTACTTTCATGTTATCTTTTCTTTCTATTGTTTAACCAGACATACCACTTTTCTCAGACCGTATTTAGAATTCTTTTTCTTCCCTCTTCTGCAATTTCGTTGTGAGTTTGTTCATTTCAGCGCAATCCATTACTTCATTTATTTATTTGATTTGTCAATCGCTTACAAAATAATAGGTGTAAGTATAAAGATGAGTAAGAACACAGAAAATAGGTACGATTAAATGGGGACAATAGGATTTATAATAAGATTTATAATCATATCCTCTGTGGGGCAGGACCAGGGCGTTTCTAGGAGGTTAAATGATTGTAAGAATGGGGATTTCACACGGATAGCGATCAATCTAGACCAGTGGCCCCCAACCTTTTTTGAACCAGGGACCGGTTTCACGATTATTTATTCTTCCACGGACCGATACCTGAGTAACGTGAGACTCCACTGCCATCGGGACGGCTCTTCGTTTGAAGCCACCCCCCCTCTTCGACGAAACTAAGGCGCGAGCACCCAAACGCCGCTTTCCAACTGAAAACCCGGAAGCACTTTCCAACCGAAAACCCGGAAGCAACCGAAAACCTGGAAGCGGCGTTGAAACAATATGGCGGTGCCCAAGCTTTGCGGCCCGGTAAAAAATGATCCACGGACCGGTACCGGTGGTTGAGGACCCCTGATCTAGACAGTCGAAAATCATGGAGGTTTCAGTGTTTTGTTCCAACTAATAAATACTATTCAAAGTCACAGAGATTCTTCAGCTGCGAAGACTGAGATTTCGCCCCAATTTTTGGCCCGTAGCTGCTGCTGCTGCAGCTGCAGAGGGGTCCTATAAGGCCTGGGGGAGGGGAGGGGGATTTGCAACTTCTAGTGCGGAGTCTTTGGGGATCTCCGAGCCGGATGGGAGTTTTCTTTTCCTTGCAGACCCATCTAGATCATGCCAAAGCAATCCTATTTCATTCTTCAACACAGTGACTAAATTAGTAACAGATAACAGATAATCAGAGTTGGAAGGGACCTTATATATAGGTCATTTAGTCCACCACCCCCCGCCCAAGCGGGAGACCCTACACCATTTCTGACAAATGGCAGTCCAATCTCTTCTTGAAAGTCTCAAGTGATGGCGCTCCCACAACTTCTGAGGGCAACTGTAGACCACAATCTACTTCTTAGTAAGCTAGAAAAAAGTGGAATAGATAGCACCACCACTAGAGGGATTCGCAACTGGCTGGCAAACCATACTCAACGAGTAGTCCTTAATGGGTCTAAGTCTACATGGAGGGAAGTAAGCAGTGGGGTGCCACAAGGTTCTGTCTTAGGCCCAGTACTCTTCAATATCTTCATTAACGACTTAGATGAAGGAATAGAAGGGGAACTTACCAAATTTGCAGATGATACTAAGCTGGCAGGAATAGCTAACACCCAAGAAGATAGGCTCAAGATCCAGACGGATCTTGACAGACTAGAACACTGGGCCCTATCTAACAAAATGAAATTCAATGTAGAGAAAAGTAAAGTCCTACATTTAGGCAAGAAAAACCAAAAGTACACATATAGACTGGATGAAACCAGGCTCAATAGCAGTAACTGTGAGAAGGATCTTGGAGTCTTAGTGGACAACCAGCTAAATATGAGCCAGCAGTGTGCAGCAGCAGCAGCCAAAAAAGCTAATGCAATCCTAAATTGTATTAACAGAGGTATACAATCAAGATCAAGGGAGGTCCTAATACCACTCTATAAAGCCTCAGTAAGACCACACCTAGAGTATTGCATCCACTTTTGTTCACCACATTATAAAAAAAGATGTTGAGACTCTAGAAAAAGTACAGAGAAGAGCAACCAGGATGATTTGGGGACTGGAGGCTAAAACATATAATGAAAGGTTGCAGGAACTGGGCTTGGCTAGTCTAGTGAAGAGAAGGACCAGGGGAGACATGATAGCGGTCTTCCAATA